TGCTGCTGCTGCTGCGGCTGCTGCTCGGGGGGGGGCTGGGCGGAGTAGGAGATACCGGTGTTGCTCGACAAATCAGAAGCGTCTAACAACGTCTGCAGATACCCTCCGGGGATCAGGGGTACATTGGTGGTGATATTAGCAGATGGTAGAGGCTTCTCTGAAGAGGAGGTGGATGGTAGAAAAGGAGAATTTTTAGCAGCCTTATCCTCGTGGCACTCCGGGAGATGGGAGCTGTCTGAAGCGCAGGGAACGTTTTCATCCTTCAGCCGCGCTGCGGGGTCCTGGTTTTCCAGCACCGGGGAACCCTCCGCCGTACTGGTGGCAGCTTTGATCTTCTTGCACTTCAACCTGGCTTCACTCTTGAACTTGATTCTGCGGAGCACTTTCCTCTCCGTCCCCTTGTGCTCCCGGTCCTGCGGTTTGCATTTCACGGCAGCGATGCCGGCGATGTCGTGGACGTGCAACCCGTTGGCACAGCCCGGGGTGGCGATGGCCAGCGCCGTCGGCAGCCCTTTCAGGCCCGTGTCCTCCTTACTGCTGCAAGGCTGCTTGTGATCCGAGGAGCAAGAGCCCAGCTTGCTCACTGATTGCTCGATGGCTTTAATTCTTTGAATCCGGTGCCTGTTTGCTAGCTTGCATTTTCGCTTCCGTGGGTGAGGGAGGAACGAAGCATCTGAGCCGTTAAGATAGAAATTCTGCTTGTGGTAGAGAGACGATCTGAGCAAATCCAGCCGGCTCTGCTGCCTCTCTTGCCAGAAGCCCTTCAGTGGGGCCAGCTTCTTGTATTTGCTGAGCAGCTCCTCGTTCAGGGTAACAGTTGTCTCGTTGGCATCCACTTTGCTGAGCTTCACCAGCATATGCTTCTCCCCTTTAAACCTGTTAATGATGATGTACTTGATGATAACGGGGGGCTCCTTGCGAGAGACTTTTCGCCGTTTCTTGGGGCACCACTCGTCGTCGTCCTCTTCCTTGGGGCCGTCGGGGAGCCACTCCTTCTTGTCCAGGATCTTCTCGTTCTCGATGGAGTCCACGTCGTACAGGTAGTCGTCGCTGTATCGCACTTTCCTCTTCGCCCTCAAGCCGTAGTTCTGCTGAATGAAGGAGCCGGAGTGGTCCCGGGACAGGTACCGGCTGCAGTCCTTGATATCCCGCAGCACGTCGTAGGAGGACTCCGTGCAAGTGCTGTCGTCGCTGAACTCCCCGGAGTCCTCCGTGGAATTCACCGAGTCCAAGAAGTGGCTCCTCTTGGAGCCCACGTACTGCACCACCTCCGTGCTGTTCAAAGATTTATTTAAGGCAGCTTTCTCCTCCTCCTCGCCGAACTCTTCCTCGCCGTCCTCCTCCTCCTCCCCCCAGATGATGCCTTCCTCAGATTTGAACTGAGAAGGCTCGGTGGCACCGCCAGGCCCCCTTTTCAGGGTGCTCCTGCTGTCCCTTTTGGTGCAGTTGCTGAACACGCTGGGGAAGAAGTTGAACTGGGCGTCCTCTTGGAGGGTGGTGGTCTTCTCCCTCACGTTGTCCTGGAAGGATTCGTATCTGATCTTGAGGGAGCAGACGTCGCTTCCCAAGGTGGAATCGTCGTCATCGAACATGTAGTTATCCACGTCTTCCTCGGAAAACAGATTTACAGAAAGCTCATTTTTGGAGCAGAGGTCAAGCAGCTCAATTTTACTTTCACTAATGAAAGATTCAAAATAGCCCCATTCCTGGTTGGGATTTGTTAGTAAAGGTTCCTCACCGTTGCATTTGTCTAATAGTAATCCCTCGTAATAATTTTTCTGAGTGGGGTCCTCTGAATCACTGTCAGATTTTTCTGCATCTCTTTTGTCCGCTGCCCTCGATTTATGCATAGGGAAGCTTAAAAGCTGGTCTGAAAGCAGTTGATCCCCGTATCTCATGGTTTCTCCTGTGCTCATGCAGTGAATCCCTATATCAGAGACCGAACAGGTGTCATAATCCCTATTTATATCCCCCACTTTCAAGCTTATTCCCGGCTCTGCATCGATGCCGTCCTTTGATTCAATGAAGCAGCCCAGACAGGTCCGGCTTGGCTGCATCAAGCAGTCGCCCGTCAGCGCCGAGATGCCGCCGGGCTCCATCATGGTGAAAGGGGCCTTCTCGCAGTCGCCCGGCAGCGACCAGGAGCTCATGCCCTTCGTCACGCAGGACGTGAGGGAGATGGCGTGGGCGGAGGAGTCATCCGAGGCGTGCTCGGGGACATCCGTGAGCCGCAGGGGCGACGGGGGGCTCAGCAGGCAGGGCTTCTTGGAGGTCAGCGGGGGCAGCGCCCGGGGGCAGGCGGGGCTCTCCTTCGGAGCGGCGCTCAAGGCCGAGAAGGTGACCGCGGCCTCGGCGGCGG